GCTGACCTGAGCGGATGCTCGTCCTCCGGTCGTGGGAACAGACTTCCGGGCGTTCTGCCTGGACCAAGTGCCTCCTGGTTTGGAAGTACGTGTCATGTCCCACCCGCTCAGCTCTTGTCTTCATGGCACATGGGCTGCTCTTGCTCCGGTTATGGTTTGGTCTGACAACTGGCCAGAAGGGCAAGGAAGCTTCCCTCCCCCTTGATGCAACTCTTTCACACCGTTTCAGGTTTGGATGGTGGGTACTTACAACTCTGAAACACTCTCATCTGGACTCTGGCTACTGTGCAACAGGACCTGCGATCAGCTGCCAGTCAGCAGTGAGGATGAGGGTAAGCTACATCTCCGATAGGGTGCTGAATTGCAGGACCTTGGTGTGCAATGCCAAGGCTGAGTCCTGACCCTCTCAAATCTATTCCTTGTGTGTTTGTTCACAGCTTCCCTCAAAACCGTGCAAGCCTTTATGATCCTCTCGATCATCTTCTCTGTCATCGCCCTTGTGATGTTCATTGCTCAGCTGTTCACCCTGGAGAAAGGCAAACGTTTCTACATCACTGGAGCCATCATGCTGGTTTGCTGTAAGTATGCACACCTTGCGATGGCTTCACATTGCAATGGCATCCCACAGCCTCTGCAAGTGCAAGTAGCTGCATGTGTCTGCCACACATGGCCATCAGGGAAGGTGGTCAGCTAGCTGAATGTTTACAGTGGCCCATTTTTTGTGATAAAACAAAGCACTGAGGAATTGTAAAGTGTTGGGTTTGGGTTATTTTATTTTTGAGTTATGGAAGATAATGAAAATATGTCCCAATTTTCATTAGTAAAGCCCAGTGGGTTTTGCAAAATACCTTTGAAAGACAACAAAAAGGGTTCAAGTATTTTTTACAGGGCAGAGAACTAAAGAGTTAGGAAACGACTACTCATGGGATTCAACACATAGGACCAAACTGTCTGCAGATCTTTTTACTGATTTCCTCCTAATAAAGATATATTTCCTATGGTACTTACTAAACAAGCCCCAAGTGTCTTATGTCATCACATCTGCAAGAGAAATCCTCCATAAATAAGCTTAATGGGCAGCAGCCCCTCTCTCCTATGGCACAAGACATGCATTACAGTCTCAGGGGACAACAGTACTTCAGAAGTCCTAGAGGAATGCTGGTTTCTATGCGTTTTCCAACTCTCTTCGTCCTTCTTTCCCACAGGGCTGTGCATTCTGATTGCAGTCTCCATTTACACAGCTCGGTTCGCAGGCCAGATATCTCCATCCACAAATTCTCACCATGGCTACTGCTTCATATTGGCCTGGATCTGCTTTTGCTTCAGTTTCGTCATCGGCATCCTCTACCTTGTTCTTAGGAAAAAATAAGCCTGATGAGAGTCCAGGGGAGAGGGTTGGCTACTGGGAATGGGGAAGAATTGCTCTGCTGAGAGAACTGTTGGGCCAATAGACAGAAACAGCCACTATCATCACCACTGCCACCACCACAGAAAAATCACTAACAAAGCTAGAATCCTCAGAAACTCCTTCACCAAAGAGAGGGAGAAACAGCTCCAACTGGTATGGCGCTCCTGGGGCTGTTGCACCAGAAACCTGCAAGTGACCCAGACAGCTCTTCTTTTCTGCAAAGTCATGTCATACCTTCACAAAGCTTCAAGGTCAGCAGTGATGATTGAAGGGCACCACAAAAACAAGGGCTAAATCTTTTTCCCTTCCTAGAGCCCTTCTCACTTACCTTTTGGTGTGCCTTGTGAGGGCAGTGAGGCTTATGACCCCTTCTTTTGTCCATTGAAATAAATGGGATGGGCCTTTTGTTACATTTATATATAGAGATATATATATATGCACATATGTGAAAGTTAAAGACATTCAATTGAGAAGCAACTGAATAGAAATCAAGTTAAATTCATGTTAAAGTATTTGCAGAAATAAGACAGCAATATTTTTTGCTGTTCTGTTTAGTGCTTGACATTCCCATGGTTGAATCAGGTACAAGTAGGAAGGGCAAATATACAGGCATGGATGATGGAGAAAGAGGGAGAGAGAGAGAGTAAGAGTGGGGGGTGAAGATACATAGGGGTTCCTAATTACAGAGGTTGCAGCTGCTCAATGATGCATATGCAGGGAGGGCATCACCTGGGTGTGTGTCTACACTAAAATTTTCTGGTCAGCTCCAGAACATGGTAACAAGAACTGCAACATCACAGATCTTTACTGAGACAAGCCTTATCCATAGGCAGGGGTGTTTTTTTCCCCACATCATCACCCAATACACGATATTAATTGTGTGCCCCACCTTGTGACACAGCTCATCTCGAAGGCAGATACTGGTTAGCAGAGGAAATATGTTCCCTCTAATGAGAGGGCCTGTGAGTTCTGTTCCATACTGTACAACCTTAGGCCACTTACTTAACCCGGTGCTTTTCCATCTGCCAAATTCTTCCATAAAACTATACCTACCTTCCAGAGTTGCTGAGAGATTTTAACTCCACTCTGTATTACAAGGTCCCCATGTGAAAGGCTGGCATGGGAAAGTAAGGCATTGGTACTGCTGCAACCCGCAGATTTATGTCAGTTTGAAGAATCTCAGTCAGAAGTGGCATTTGTAAGAGACGAGGTCAAAACTTCCTGTGACTCCATCCACAACTAAAAGGCAGAAAGTATGAAAAAACATGCAGGTGCAGACTGTGCATGGATGCAGTTTACCTCTCTCTCTCTTTTTCTCCCTGTTACATTTTCTTCTTATGTAGACTTCATCATTTGGTGGATATATTCTAGTACTGTATGTTGCTGTTTCATTAACAAAGGTTATTTCATATATAGTCATTGTAAATATTTTGAAATGCATATTTTTAACTTTGAGGGTATAAAAATAAAACCTGATTCCATTTATTATAAAGAGTTTTGCTCTGGGTTTTTTTCATTAGTGTTTCAGGTATTTGTTAATAGAAGTGTTTGCAGTTCTCACTGAATCAAAGCTCAGCCCTTTTAGATGATGCAGAACTCCCAAGTTCTTTTGCTTGTCAGCATGTGAGATTTCCTGTTCTGAAGGGGAGGAGGTAGTAGAACAACTCTCAGAGCTCCCGTTTCCGGTTCTTTGCAAGCTCAAGCAGATAGTGTGAGCAGTGACAACACTCAGTCCCAGAGCCAGGCTTTGCTTCACTCCCAGGAGAGCTGCAAATGTACCTTCTCACTCTGGCAGGATCTCATTTCTGTGGAAGTTGGTGCCTAAGATGCTGCAGAATGCATTAGGACTTAGACCACCCCTCAGCACAACTGAGTCCCAAAGCAATATCACTGACTTGTTTGCCTGGACCACATGAGTTGGTGTGCGTTCAGACAGACAACACTAAGGCAAACAACTGACTAAATCAGGGCATTTAACTACAGCAAGTCAGCTGCAGGAAGTGCTAAAAATGAGGGACAACGAAGGGGCAAAAGCAAGAGACACTTTTGCTCTGACCAGAGAGCCAGGCTGGGAAGAAGCAGTCCACTAACTGTGCACATTAGCAGGTTTGGAATTATCTGTACAGGTTCACAGGAGTGTTGCAAAAGCCACTGCAGACAGCTCAGGTGAGAGCCCTGCTCTGTGAATGGCAGAAGCCAAAACCAGCCAAGCAAAGTATCTGACTCCTGGGCTGATCAAGGGGTGATGACAGCACTGCAAACGCAAAGGCAGCAGCACCTGCTGCATTTATAGAATGCAGCTGCCTGCCATCACACCCACAGCAGGAGAACGGCTTGATTCCCTTGCAGCAAAGAGGACAGAGAAAAAACAGATCACCAACAACCACTTCCCCTTCCCGTTGTGCAAGGGATGGCGAGATCATGGGAGGCATAAATGACGATGCCAGGAGGGGTGTAAAAGATTAAAAGTATAAGTAAAAGTGCTGGGTCATTTCCAGCACTGGAGTAACTCTCCACTGCTGGTATCCAGGGTGCAATTAACCCAAGAACCCTTTAACAGAGGAAAGTAAGATGAAATCAGCATGAAATATTATCCCACTTAAAACACATTCAGCCCAGGCGGCAGCACAGAACTGTATGCCATGGTTATACTAGTTGTCTTTAGAAGGCTGCCTAATCTCATGGTTGTTTACATGTGCAGCTCTGCCTGCTCAGAGAATAAGAGCAGTCAGGGTACCAGTTGATTGCTGGAGGAACTGGGGAAGAATTTTAATCCCAGACTCTCTGTTTCTGCATTGCACTGTTGGCGAGGTGCATCACTGCAGGCAGCTCAGCTCTCCTGACATTGTCAGAGCCATGGTACTGGATTAGATACACAGTGATGTGATGCGTGATGACAAATCTCATGTTGCACAATTCACCCAAAGTATGTGGGTATCTGGTATAAATATACACCTTGTCATCTGTTACAGTGCTTAAGAAACTTGATTGCCTTTCTGCTCAGCCTAGCATGGAAGGCTGTAGCTGTCAGTCTTCTTCCATTCCACCCCCTCTCAGGCTTCTTAGGTGGACCAGATTAGCCAGGTCAATCAGTAAGAAGAGGGGTCTCCTCAAGCCAGCATATGACTTTAGGCAAGTACAGGAGGCATGCCCCTCATCAGAGCTTTATGAAAAGCCAAGATGTTTCATCTGATCTGTTAGGCTAATCTCAGTGTCAGGATTTGGGCAATAGAGACAGGTCTATCTGCAGTAAGGTCTAGGGGAAGAGGCAGTGCTGTGGAGCTCTGCCCTGTGAGTATGATCACTCTTGTACAGCTGACCTGGAGCTCATAATGAGGTCAGAGGTGCTAAAGGAAGGAGCACTGGGCGTGCTCCCGTCTCTTTCCACCTTCCAAATAAATCTGCAGGTGGACAGCAGCCTGGCTTTTGGTATTCACAGATGGATGTGACTAGTTTTTCCTGAATTTTGTAGGTCACTTCCTCAGGCTTTGGGAGGGTAGGGGGATGTGTGGCTCTGTGAGACAGGGAAACATCAACTGGCTGAGGCACTGTCTTGTTACCAGAGCCCAGAAACTGCATACGCACATACCAGAGCAGCTTAGCTAAGCAAGGAAAAGGTGGTGCTGTAGGCATGGCCTGTGAGAGGGGAGTCAAGCATGCAGTGATGGGAGTAAGGCTGGGAAAGAGGCTTCCAAATGCTCCTCACACTGCAGCCATGGCAGATCTCCTGCCATGCTTCTGGGCAACGCAGGGCTCCCTGGAAGCTGCTGACAGCCTATGAGTCCTACTGATGTCCCTAAAAGCTGAGGCTGCTCAGCGTTCTGGGAACACATTGAGCTGTTCCCAGAATTGGACCCAAACTTTTCACCATCTTTGTTTACAGACTCAAGGAGGTAAAAGAAGATAGATAGCCTCGACACAGCTTGAATGTGTTTTTTAGGGAGTTCTGTTTCTACCTGGCATTCTGAAGCAGGAGATGCTTGATGTGCATCACATAGAAGATGAGCAACCACACAGCACAGTAAGCAGCTTTGTGGCAAAGAAACCAGAACCCCTGCACTTTGCAGCCCAGCTCTGGAAAGGGATGTAGACTCTGCAAGAAAGCCAGAGTGTGGGGAAGGGGAGGCAGAGGTGTGGCACAAGAGTGAAGTACTCGGGACCATCCTGGAAGCAAGGACCATGGGCACTACCTAACCAGGACAGCAGACTGGCAGTGATCAGATGGATGCAGGTAGAGGGCAGCAGAAAGAAATGGGGGATCAGATTTGTGGACAGGAGGAGGAATGGGATGGACAAGAAGAATAACACTGCAGAAGACCACTGGTGGGTTGGGGGAGGCGAGTAATTTAGTGGGGAGGTGTATGGAGTTTGGGACACCTGAGACCCACTGCAGTCGTCAACCAAGCAGACGGACCTTGACCAGACATCAGGCTTGCTTTGCCAAGGCGGTACCAGAGGCTCGTGCACAATCCTGCCAGAAACTGGTGTAAACCACCCAGTGCCGAAGACCCACGTGTGTCACCCCCAGCCCTTTGGTGGCTGAAGACCCCGCTCCCCTGCACTGTCACTAGAGGTCAGTGCAAGCCCAGCGAACGCCTCTGTTGAACGTTCCTGAACGATCTGTGATTTAAGGCGTGGGCACCCCCAGCCAGGAGCAGTGCTGCTTTAGCATAGCATAAATCAGAAACAGGAACGTGCCCCAGCCTCGCACGGCAGCCCTCAGGTGGGCTCCCTGCTGGCCTTCATGTGGAAGAAGAAAAAGGAATGTTACAGGCATCTTGTCCCACATAAGAGGTAAGGGCTGTGTTTATCGCTAACAAGAAACCTACAAGGCAAATGGAAGTGGAAGAAGAAACGCTACAGGGGAATGGGCAGCAACTTTCTAACTATCAGGCTAAAAGAGAAGACTGTGGCTTGTTTCCCTTCGGCCACTGAAAGCTGCTTTGGACTCAAGGAGATAT